TGGCCTTGGTGTCTGCTTGTTATTGTGTTCATACCACTGCATATGAAGTATGCACGCATTCAAACATTGTCATGTTTGAGCACTGATGGTCTGCTGATCGTTATTATGTGGGCAGTACTTGTGTATGATAGAACTTACCGCTTTATGTCTGTTGTGTTACTGTTATGGTAAACAATAAAGAAAAAGTATATTTAATAGCTGACTGGTGTATCGATGTGGGATTTAGGTATTGGAGATTGGACTCAGCTAAAACCTAACATTGGGTCTGCTCCTAAAACGACATTCAAGCTAAACTTCTGTTGTGTTTGAAGACATGAGACTTTAGGTACTGAGGGTCAGTCCTAGCCCCATGTGTTGGGATGAAGGTCAACAGCTCTGTGAGGAGTGATGGGAAGGTTGTGCGCTCATGGAGGCTTTACTCTTCTGAGGTCTTCCGAAGCAGCCTTTCATACAGGCTGAGTACATGGTGAACAAACTGATACTGCTCCGCTGTCTGGATCATGCCGCCTCTAAAAGCACAACAACATGAGGCCAACTGTTATTGTGCTTAATAGCATCTAGCAGTCCAACTTCGCACTCAACAATAGCATTGTACAATTTTTCTCCATGACTTCAGGTTGGCCCGGATCCCACTGAGGCCAAACAGCTAACATTTATTTTGCTGCTGTCTCAGTACTCAAACTGACTCTTGTGTTTAAAAGAATGTACAGTATATATATTTTACCTGTCCAAGCGTAGCTGGCTAGTGGTCTTCAGGATGTCAACCACCCCTTCATTACTTAGCTGCTGGCACAAGATGGAGGTAGCAATGAAACAGCCAGTGCGTCCAATCCCTGCACTAAGAGTAGAGAAATCGCTGTTTAAATATATTAGCTTTATCTTTTTACTATGTTACTTTAACAGCTTTTTGTGAAAAGTGTGTTACCTGGTCACCTGTTACTGTCCCGGTGACAACCCGCCTGCCTGTTTCCTCACTTCTTCCACTTCCTTAACCAAGTCCAAAAGAGGCGGGGCCTTGTCTGGAGTTTTCTGATCTGGCCAGGATGTGTACCAATACTGTTTGAGAGTGCGCTCCTCACCCTCACTCTACACACACAAACATTCACCAACATGTAAATGCACGTTTGCAGTTCATCAAAGCTGTGTTCACACTCCACAAATTTGACCCCAATTTGGCCATATGAGACAAATTTTGCAAAGCCCACAAGATTCCTCTGATCCTAGGCCAAAATCTGTAACTTTTGATCACTAGTTTGGCATTTTTGCTAACAGCGGATTGATGACTACTGCAATCTGATCAAATTCGGCATTGTGGCTTCTCCTATGACAACCGTCAAATCAAGAACCATTAGGAAGACAGAAAATACACCACTTGCTCCACACACATCACCAAACATGTCATGGATTGATGATGTAAAACCTATGCCTATGCCCATTTTTAATGAGATTAAATGGCTTATACCTGAGATCGCGTTAGTACAGTCTGACAAGCAACAATTGTAAAGGACTCGTATAGTGTGCACCCTGCTTAACACACATTTATACACAGGAATGTTTCTAGCCTTCCATCAGTACTGGGGTACTGTTCAAATGAATTAAACTGAATCATGAACAATTTCAGACTATTTTGTAAACCCATTTGACTGATTAGATCAATAATGATTAATTCACAAATGGCTAGTTCTGATTCTATACAACCGACAGAAAAGACACACGACATGATTGCTGTAATATTTTTAGGGGAAATGATTATCATGTTGGTATAAGGTAATCTCAACCATCAGTAATATTTTACTCTGGCTCGTGCCCCAGTGAAAAGGGTCTAGCCACATACACTGTATACACATACACAGACCAAATGATGCTCATACTAACATATATACACATTGTTTGATATATCTCAAGATATCTTACACAGATTTTGTGATTAACTACATTTTATGTGAAATACTGCATTGCTAAGAATATTTGTTGCCATGGCAGCCATGCCTCCAGAGGAGACAGTAGAAAACATACTTAGAAGCAAAAAAATATTGCGCTCAACCTAGACTTCTCTCTTTCTGTCCCTCTCATCTTTCTTCTCTTTCACACAAACTTTTATGAGGTTAGACTCTTCCATATACATTAGTCTTGTCTTTATTAGTTATACTGTATTATAATCTCTACATGAAAGAAACTTGAAAAAGAAATTAGATTTGACAAGTAGAAATTACTTTTAAAAAGTGATGGCTTTTAAACACAGCACTTATTCTGCATTCTCAGATTTCACCTTTTTTGGTCTCTGAATTCTACTCTACGCAAAATATGATACAGTCTGTCAGTCTTGTCTTTCATGGGCTATAAACAAATTCAATGTTGCTGGCTGCAATGTTGTAATGCAATATTAACCTGTAGGTTGCACTGTCATCAAACTGCTCTGGTACCCTCAGGGCATGGTCACATGACACATGACATTTTGTTTCAATAGACCAGGATATAGCCTTTGGCGGAGCTTTGAAATGTGTCGAAATTCTATTCTTTTACTTGGTAGCATTTTGCCAAATGTAATACTAATAATTAAAAAATACAATAAATGCCATGATGCTTGGTAACCAATTAAACATATATTTAAAAAGTTACAAACTTTTTGGTAAAAATTTTACTGTTAAAATTAAATGAATGAATACATTAAGATTCCTTTAGTCATTAGTTTGCATATAAAACAGAAAAAAAGCAAATCAGTTATTTTTATTAAAACCTTTCAACATAATCATCCTAGACATTATTACATGATGCATCAAACTCAAACCTGTTCCTCACAGTAAAAACAGCTCTTCTCTCTATGTGTGAACACACACACTTTAACACAAAACAAACCTTCACAGTGAAAATCCTTAGACTGTAGTCATCTGCCTGGATGACCTGTTTGACAGTGATCTCGACACCTTCACAGATGACTCTGTCCTCTGGCCAGTATTCTGTGCATTTCTGTGGGACACACACACAAATATGTTTTTTTTTTCTCCTCGATTCATATGTTTTATTCAGTCCAGCAAAGCCCATTTTAAACCATTCAGACAAATTTGATTCACGATCCCTGATAACTCACTGGAATTCACCTAAATATTGCAAGGCATGTAAAGAGTCAAAATCACCTCAATCACATGTCTTTACTTAATTTTTGACTTCCGCAAAATACCATTTCAATGTTTAATTGTAAACCCTTATATTATTCACTAAACTACTTCAGCCTGAGTTAGTGCTCAGTATCGAATAGTGACAGCACTAGGGGTTGGACAAGAACTATTTAGTGTTAATTCAAGTTTGCATAACCCTGATAATTAAAGAGAGAATACATAATAATAATTAAAACAGCTCAAAGATGTTTAATTGCTTAGCATGAAAGACTGATTCATCCCAATCATGTGATATGTGTGGATATAGCCAGACCTCGTTTTTTTCTTCAATGTTGGTGATCATGACAATAATGGGACAGCGCTCCTGCCAAACCATCTTCCAGAAATCCCCCACTGTGTTTACAGTTGGACCCTGTGTAGCGATGTATGCCCTTTCTTTCCCTCCATAGCCCTAAAGGAAAAAAGCCAATTTGAATGAAAGAAGAACCATATATGGCTGATTAGAGAGCCTTAACCTTTCAGCCTACTGCACTTCTATGTGATCAGAAATAGTGCATTCACTTGCAAAATCACATAAAATGGTTATTTTTCAAACATGATCTAGTCTCCCAAAACTAATAGTTTGTAAAAAGTTATGACATAAAAAAAGCTTTACTCAGCTAAAAATGTAAACAAAAAAAAGTTAG